GTTGTAATGTGACAAAATATGGAAAAGTTCAAGGGGTATGAATACTTTTGCAAACCACTGTATATTTAATATACTTCTAATCGCAATTTCAATCTTTCTATCTTTCTAATTACTTCTCTCTGTTTTTCTCTCTGTCTCTATTTTCTCGTCACTTAAAAAAAAAGTCACTGATGATGAAGAAATAAATAAACTAGATAAACTAAAGTAGGAAACTTCAGTTTCCTACTGAAGTGACACAAAAAAAAAAGGAAATGGAGTTTTTTGTCCCAACAAGGAGGAGTTCAGTTTTCTTATGGTTTAGTTGGAGGAAATTGTTAGAGAACCAGTTGTTGAGCTCACTGAGGCAGTCGGTAAGAGTTGAAGATGATAAGGTGGAGTTCGGTTTTGTCGAAATGTAGAGCTGAGTGTCGTCAGCATAAGAGTGGAAATGAACAACAAATTTACAGAAGATGTGGCCAAGCGGGAGCAGATAGATTATGAAAAGTAGAGTCCCGAGTACAGAACCTTGGGGAACACCGGTGGAGATGGGTGAMGACTGGGAAYAGAAGGACTTGAGCTGAATGAACTGAGTGCGGTCAGAAAGATATGATTTAAACCAGTCCAGTGGGGTGTCTGAGATGCCAGTAGAGGTTAGTCTGTCAATGAGGATAGGATGAGAGATGGTGTCAAAGGCAGAGCTCAGATCAAGGAGGATGAATATTGACAGAAATAATATAACACGTACTAAGAATGTATAACRCATACTAAGCTTTATGATCTGCAAAGCTTTTAAAAGTCCAGATCTAATTTATCAACTGCAGTCCTTGAAAATAAATGATCTTATTTTTGTACTTAAACTTTGGTGAAGTACATTTTTTAAAATACTTCTTAGCTTTTAGATTTTAGTTTTTACAAATCCCATATTCTGCTTCTGTCCTTTGATGTCAAGATCACTGCTTCTTAGCAGTTGAAGTTATATTTATGTGTTTTTGTTTTGTTCCCAGCTTTCATTGAAACTGCTCTGCCCACTCTCGTTATTCCAATACTTGAGCCTTGCGGTCGTTCAGAGTGTCTGCACATTTTTGTAGACCTTCACTCTGGCATGTTTCAACCCATGCTGTATGGATTAGGTAAAGTGGGAGCGTTAATTCACTTAAAACACTTTTATTTTTCTGTTAATTACYGTATTTATTCATGTATAATACGATCTCATGTATAATATAATCTAAAGCATAAAAAAATCTAATCATCAATAACGCATNTTACCGTATTTATTCATGTATAATACGATCATCATATTTTTAGCTTAAAAAGCATAAAAAAATCTAATCATCAATAACGCATGTACAAAACTACCACCCACCCCAACTTTATGGATGATTTATAGGGTTAAATTTCTAGTATTAAACATGAATAAATACAGTAAGTTGGTTCTTGAGTTATTAATTTGTTGATATTGTTTTAAAACCTAAACCATAAATCAGGTTTTTATTCTAACACGTTTTCAGCTGTAAACTTGAAATCTTGGTTTCTTCTCCCTGTAGATCAGTCCATGCTGGATGACATTGAAAAGACCATCAATGACGATATGAAGCGCATACTAACGTGGCTTCAGCAACTCAAGTAAGTGAAATAAATATGAAAAAAACATTTACAGCTGCCAGTGAAGCTAAAATCAGGAGTGTTTCAGTCGATACAGTAACTAATGGAAAGAAACTGGGCAATGAAATTAAATATTTATCRCTATTTCTGATTGATAGCTCACATTTATGTGTTTGCAGTCTTTAATAAATAAATTAAGGAAGGATTCGTTGAAGGACTGAATGTCCCCCAATGTTTTAAGCAAAGATTTTATGTGATTTGTTAGCACACATTATGTTTTTGGGATTTCTTTTTGCTACTACAATGTCTGAGTTATTGATATTTTTGTGTTTTCGTATGTTGATTAGCTGTGCAGCCATCCTGAATTAGATTGACTCCAAAAATAAATCAGTTTTAAACACGTTCATTGGTTGCTTTCTGAGAATTTGATTAAACTCTTGTCCAGATGTTCGTGAGATATTCTGCTGACTCACAAAATAATACAAATAGTTACTGTTTTGTATAGCTCTATAGACTGAATAATCTACTTTTTGTTTTCTTATTTTTGCACTGTCAGCCTGAACAATGGGCCTCATGCAAGAACATGTTCGTATTCTTATCCTAAATTTCTCTTACTTTTGTTCGTGCAAAGGGTTCGTACGAACATGTCACGTCAATTCAACAAACTCTTCTATCTTCAGGAAAAGTGTGTAAATGAGCTGCGTAAATTCCAC